TCCACAGCTCTAAAGCAACCCAACAGTTTGATCTGAAACAAACAGATTTTGTCTGAATCTTCTTCAACAGTACTCTCTATACAAGAAACTAACAAAATCTCCCAGAAAGAAGACTACAGATTGGTTAAAAACAAAAAAACAAAATTAAAGAAATAAACCAAACCACCCACCCAGATCAATATGAGCTTAGTGTATATTTGGTCTCATTCACCAATCAAGAACTACAAAACCTTGCTCCATCGCATATGAACAGACACATAAAGACCAATTCAAGTTATATCATACAATCATCTAAAACCCTAAAAGAAGGAACTGTCACCCAAAATCAAACCCAAACCACTAGTTCCAATGGTCTAAATATCATTCACCATAAGACCCTTAATCAAGAACATAGAAAAGCCTCAACTTGTTCAACCATATCAACAAAGCTCGCAAAACCCAATTCAAATTTACCGATTATATCCTAAAAATGAATGAGAGAACCCATTATAACACAAAGCCACAAAGTCTCAACCTTTTCAAAATATTCAACATAATTTTCAGACAAAACGAATGAGAGGACAAACAGAGAATAGGACTTGGCATAAGAATACAAGAAACTAACCTGAAGATTTCTCACTCCAAAGCCTTTCTCGCTTTTGTTTCCTCCAACTATTTTGCTCGAAAAACAAACTGGGATATTTGTGATTGAATCACCAAAAAGACTCTTTTTTCCAAGTTTACACTTGCGACCAAAGAGGAAAGTGAGAAGAAATGCGAAGAGACGAGGAGAGTAATTAGAGGGAGAATTGAAAGAAGAAAGTGAAGAAAAAAAAAGGTTTGTGTTTGGTATTAGAAACCTCAATTCCACTGACCTCCCCCACTTTTGTCCCATCATTTCCGGAGCGACGCTCGGTCTAATTTATTTTGTTCTTCATTTCTTTTATTTAAAATATAAAAATTATTTTAGTATTGGAAAAAATAATATAAATTCAGCATTTCAACATAAATGGATGTTTTTGGAATAAAACAAAGAAAAATAAATGTTCTTCTGAATCAGTAACAGGAGAATGGATAATTAGGTCTTGAATGAAAGTTTTTGCATGTGGCTTTTAACATCAAAGTATTGTTATTAAAAAAAAACTTCAAAAGATATGCAACAGGATTAGATGATATGCATTTATTTATCCTTAGATTTAGATGTTTTGATTTATGGTATGTATGTTGAAATCATACATTACTTTCTTATAATTCTCTAACATCCCTTTTTTATGAGAAGTGTAACTTAAATTGGATCCAGATTTGAGTTCAATTCTTTATGGGGTATATAGGTTGCTTTTGCCGGTTTTTACATAAGCTACGTGAAAAGTAGATTCGGCACAACTAGCTTTTTTAATTTTTTTATAATACTGATAACACAAGCGTACACATTAGATTAGAGTAATCTTTTCAACCACGAGAGTAAGAAGACGATGAAGCATATTTGATGCTCTATTATCTTCGAATTTCTATTGAATTGTGTTATTTTTTGATTAAAATTTAATTGTG